GCTGTACAACGTATTCATAAATGATCCGGGGGAAAGGGTAGACAGACAGGTGGCACAGTTCGCAGATTATGCAAAATTAGTCAAGCCAATTAAGTCCATAGCTAACTGCTAAGAGTCACTCAAGACTTGGTGACTGGGCAACAAAATGGCAGATGAAATTCAATATTGATAAATGCAAAGTAATGCACATGATATGTATAGTTGGGATTATGTTTTCCAAAATGATAACATCTAAATTAGTAGTTGCCACTCAGGAAACATCTTGGAGTCATCATGAATAGTTTTCTGAAAACATCTGCTCAATGTGCAGCAGCAGTCAAAAAAGCTAACTGAATGTTAGGAACCATTAGGAAAGGGATAGTTAATATGACAGAAGACATCATAATGCCACTTTATAAATCCATGATACACCCCCACCTTGAATACTGCATGCAGTTCTAGTTGCTCCATCTCAAAAAAGATATTAGAATTGAAAAAGGCACAGAGAAGGGCCACAAAAATGAAGAGGGGGATGGAACAATTTCCATATGAGGAGAGATTAAAAAGGACTAAAACTGTTCAGATTAGAAAAAAAGAGACGACTAAGGGGGGATGTGATAGAGGTCTATAAAATCATAAATGAGAAAAGTGTTATTTACCCCTTCACATAACAAAAGAACTGGGGTCCCACAATTAAATAAATAAGCAGCAGGTTTAAAACATACATTAGAAAAATACTTCTTCACACAATGCACAGTCAACCCGTGAAACTTGTTGCCAGGGGATAGTGTGATGGCCAAAAGTATAACTGGGTTTTAAAAAGAATTAGATAAATTCATGGAGGATAGGTCCCTCAATGGCTATTAGCCAAGATGCAACCCCATGCTCTGGGTGTCCCTAAACCTCTTACTTCCAGAAACTAGGACCAGTTGACAGGGGATGGATCACTCAAAATTGCCCTGTTCTGTTCATTCCCTATGAATCTTCTGGAACTGGACACCATCGTAAGACCAGATACTGGGCTAGTATGTTCATTCTTCTATTCTATTGAAAAAATAAATAATAAATAATAATAATAATAGAAAGTTCTTGCTGGTGGGTGTGTAATGAAAGAAAAGAACCTTGAGGTCTTCTCCTCCCTTTGTTCCAAGCTCCAGGAACAAACAGAGGTATAAAGCAATCTTGCTATAACTGGCACTAGCAAAGTACACCATCCATTAGCACTGCAGTTTGGCTATATCAAACACAATCAGTGAACAAGTGCAGAGAAGCCAAATATTATATGGGAATGGCTGAGGTGGAAAAAGACAAACAGATTAAAACTAAAGAACGTTCTTAACTCTTTAGAGTGATGAATTGCTATTGACACATACAGACACATTTTACAGGAATACTGGAAGAGCAGATGCAGAATGAAGAAGTTCAAAGAGAGTGAGAATTAGAAACCATCACTAGCAGCTCCTCCAAAGGTGCCTGTCTCTGTTGCCCAGTATTCAGCTTCTAATTATCTTCATGTTGCCTTTAATGCATGGAAGGACCTTCCAGAGTTTATTCATAAGACCCATCACTCAAAGAACAAAATCAGTAACATTCTTTTAGTTAAGCTTAAGAGGGTGTATTTTACACAATATACATTTAGCTGAACAGTTGTTGTCTCCCCCACCTGTGGTTTACTGTAGTGTTTCTCCCTCCTTCAGCAATTTAGGCAATACCAGACAGTGTTTCCTCTGCAACCCAGAGAACAAAGTACAAGAGTGTTCACAAGTAGCTTCTCTTCTCTACTGGGCTTCTGTAGCCTTACCCTAGCATAGACATTTTTCCACACACCCTTTTTGCAATGGTGATTATTTGTCATTAACATCTTTAAAAGAAACCACCATTACCACTAGGGTGACCAGGTGCCCGGTTTTCAACTGGAAAGTCCAGTTAAAAAGTGTACCAGACAGTGTCCAGTCAGATCTACTGACTGGACACCTAAAGCCCAGTTAGTGGACGTGGGGAGGTGCTGGGTCATCACCCACGCCACCCCCTTCTCAGCCGGGGCTGCCTCCTATCTCCATCAGGCGGCTGCAGCTCCCAGCCCTGGCTCTGCAGGCAAGTCCCTCCTGATCCAGGCAGAGGGGAGTCGGGGAGAGGGGAAAAGCAGCAAGTGATGGGGAGAGATGGGGCAGAGGAGCAAATGGGGGCATGACCTTGGGAGGGAAAGGGCAGGGCCTCAGGGGGATGGGGTGCACCAGGGGGAGGTTCTGGCATTCCTGCTGGAGAGTCGTTTTTAAATATTACAAAGTTGGCAACCGTAACTACCACACTATCAAGAGCCCTGCATGTTTAATATTTATACACACACCCAGCAGAAACAAACAAGCTTGAGTCACATCTAACTACAGTTTGTGTCAGCCAGATTCCAGTGGCTTAAATATTCCAAGTGAAAATGTCACCACTTCACAGTGATGGCTGGCAGCAGGATTCTCACAATATGGGTTTTAATCAGAGACTAACAACATTTCAAACTGTGAGGCATTTACACACAGCAAAGGGTTTGGCATTAGCATCCAGACTATTACAGTATGGGGTTTCATAGACAGTGGAAGGAGGTAGATTAGCACTTTGGAGAAAGAGAGAATCCAGTTGGCCTTCCTGTTAGTACTTGAAATCTACCAAGGAGTTAACAGGTTATTTTGAAGGAATGTAGAGAGCTACAGTACATTGGCAGATGTTTTTTTGTTTTTTTACCAGTGGGTCAAGTTTCTGTCACCAGGACAAAAAAACCTAAACCGATACTGTGGTTACATTAAATTGTCTAGGAAACATTTAATTACAAGGGGAAATATTTACTATAGGTATTTCCTTGCTCACAAACAAATATGAAACTAGAAATTGTTTACCACAAGCAAACAGAAAACTCAGGCTGTCTTTTTTTTTTCCAAAGCAGAGAATGGTGCCCAATATAAATTTCATTAGACGAGGGAATAGTCTCACTTGCCAGTTGCTTGGTTGTTATTTCACCCCCTTGTTTAAGTGGTACTGGCAAGATAGGCCCCAAATTAAAATTGTAAACACCCCCATTCCCCCCCACACACAATGAACTGTTTTCCTTAATTGTTACATTTGAGACGGTTGTATGTTGATACTTATTGGATTTATTCAGAACTCAAATATATAGACACACACACACCCCCCTTACATTCTAGATTCCATGGCCAGAAGGAACCATTGTTATCATCTAGTCTGACCTCCTGCAAAACAAAGGGTGCCTTTGGGATAAGTTTTAGAATCAAACTAAAACTATCAGCGACCCCAAACAGCTCTAGACAATTTACCACCTCCACTAGATCAACAGAATACAGACATATGCATGCACACTTCAGCCCCAGTCAAGCCCCTTCCTCCCCTAAAGCTCAAGCGACTAGATCAGGGGTTCTCAAACTGGGGGTCAGGCCCCCTCAGGGGGTTGTGAGCTGTCAGCCTCCATCCCAAATCCCGCTTTGCCTCCAGCATTAATAATGGTGTTAAATAGATAAAAAAAATGTTTTTAATTTATTAGGGGGGTCACACTCAGAGGCTTGCTATGTGAGAGGGGTCACCAGTACAAAAGTTTGAGAACCACTGGACTAGATAAACTTTGAAGCACATCCTGATGGTCAGATTGGGGAAGAAGGTAGGGAAACCTTTATGGGACTTGCTGGGCCACCACCAGTTTCTTCTTTAAAAAAGAGGGGATATCAACTCACATGCTCAGCTGATTGCAACTGTGAGAAAAGGGCAATCTCAGACAGGCAGGTCCCACCCCATTTAGGTTTTTAAAAGTCAAAAATATAATACTTAGTAAATATTATATATTGCTGTCCATCTCTAGATCACAAAAGTGCTTTACAAAAAGAAAAAAGGCAAGTGCCATTGTCAGCATTTTATAATGAGGAAACTGGGCAAGTCACTTTACCTCTCTGTACCTCAGTCACGGAGGGTCAGTGACAAAGCTGGAATAGAACTCAGGTCTCCTGACTCACTCCTGGATTACAACACCTTCCCAATTAGAGCCTCTTCCATGGTGCTGGAGACTGAGCAAGAACCAAGCTATCTTGATCAAGTCACTAAGAACCAGAATGTTAAAGTGACCAGTCTAGTTTCACTATCTAAGCAGAGACACAGAAAAATAAAGGGCTAAATAAATTAGAGACTTTTCAACATTAACTAACTGTTACTTATTTAAGGTATTAAGTAGTAAGAGCAAGGGGGAAAATTATCACAAATTTGCAATTTCTCATTTCACCTGCCTGGATTAACTTTGAAATGGTCTAAATCTCATATGTACTCATTATATGCCTTTATGAAACTGTACTACAAGTTACAGAGCTAGATAATTAATTGTTTTACAACATCCATGCATGCTTGATTCCAAGACTGCAAAATCTAAATTTGTTTTACAAAATATACATACACACAGCATACTTAGAAAAATAAATTTGTTGATGGGCTACACAACTTGAGTTAATGACATTTACTAAGAGGCAGAAAGTTGCATGTCTCACCACTGCATCAGAAGCTTCCTGCAACTCCAGGTATGGCAGTTAGAGGTTAGATTGCCGTGAACTACTAATGAATTTGATACTGTCAAGCCACCCTTTTGCTTTGGGTTCTCTTTCAAAATACCATCTGAACACACGAAGGCTGAATTGTAGCTGCTACTTGCCAACAGCTCTGCACATTGTTTTGTTTTTTTGTGTTTTTTTTTTTTTTTTTAAACCAGAAGACTGTTTTGTATTACTTCTGAGCTAACTGCTGTACTTGGATGAGTACTAGCCATGTTCTATGGCTTGGGTTAGCTGTCCCCATTGTGAACTAGGATTACCTATTGTAGAATAAATAAACAAACAAGCTTACCTTTAATATACATGACATATTTCAGTATTCTCCATCAGCAAGATATCTTAAGCCACAGTCACACCACCAACACTTTAGTGGGGGACTACATCACCTTGATGTGTTTGGATGAAGGAACACAGGCACTTAATACGCCAACACACATTGTAAGCATCTCTTTTATTTGTTGTAATATAAAGAAGCATACATCATTCATTCTTTTCAGTACAACTCAAATTGTACACCAACAAAAAAAAGATCAGTGTACACAGACATCCATGAGCCTGTCACAACAGGACTCATGACATTTTGCTCTGCTGGTATTGCACTTCGAATAGGCTTGAATTAAGGCACAGTAAAAACAAAATCATTTAGTGCTTCTACAGCAGATGTCTTTTTAAACACATGCTACATGACAAACTAGTTTTTCTAGCTTATGTATATACACATGAAGAAAGGAAAAATGCATGCACTAGAAGGTTTAGATTTCAACAATTTTGTTGCTTCATAATATACAAATAAAGTAGTTTAAAGATGTAAACAAACTGCATGCACATAAACTAGAGCAAAATCTTTAATACAGTATCTGAAAGCTATTATGCTTAAATAAAAAATATAACTTACTAGTACTCAATGTTTATGTGCCATTTTTGTCCTGTAGAAATTAAAAGTTTGGGGTTCTTTTTGCTTCACACATTGGCAGCACGTATGTTGATAGGAAAGACTGATATGGCTTTTGCATTACAAAACACAATAATAATAATAAGTTTCTCCTATTCCGTTTGGATGTGGCATCCTGGGTATTTTCCAGTCAAGGAAAGCAACAACAAAAAATCCAATAGGATTTATGCTACAATTTGGGAAAGCTGCAAGTTTCAGCAGCCCTTTCTGGAGACATTTTGCTGAGGGTAAATTCTTAAAACCTAAAACAAAAGAATCTGAACAAACCAAGTTTCACTTTCCACTTCAAACACTACAGAACAAAAATTAAGTCTCCCCCTCTTCCTCCGTGGCTGTGATAGCTGAAGTGCTCTTGGATTGCCTCACGGGTTAACTGGGTGGCAGTATTTCAACAAGTACCCTGAAATCAATTGTCCTTCTCTTTCTTAAGGAAATTAGTTGTATAGTTTTTATTTTTCTTTTTGGTGTAGGGCAGGAGATTTTTCAAATTAAATACAGGAACAAGTATCACTCCTGCACCCTACCACATCAGGCTGAGAAGGCACATTTACTGCTGTGTAGATAGCAAGGGAAGACTTTTTGTTTTATTAAAAGGCACAGTGTTTAGTATTACTTCCCTTCCCTTCTCCCTCCCCCCAAGAGTCTTTTGGTTAGACCAGATAGAGTTCTATATAGCGACTTCCCAGGAGCCGTCCATTTTTCTCAGCCACTGCTTTCTTAGCCAGGTCCAGGCTTGGAAAAGTCACCAACGCTTCTCCACTGGGCTGGCCACTAAAGTTGTAAAGCACAAGAATAGAATCTGTGTGGAGCTGCAGGGATAAGAACACAAGGGAGGGGGAAGAGAAACTTAAAACCTAAGACCACAGATGTAGGCTTTGTCCCTAACACTTGCTGGTTTCTTTAATTGCTTTAGACCAACAGAAAGGCAGTTCAGAGTTTTATACATAAAAACACTTCATCTGCCAAGTTTCAGATCATCATGGCTACAAACAGCCAAGTCTGGCAGAGAATAAAGGACTGAAGACTGAACTGAGAGCTGTTTTTTAGTTCACAGCAGAAGGAACTTGAATTCTGCTGGTGCATGGGTCAGAAAGATTCAGAAGTAGCTCCAGGAGGAGAGTCCAGTACAGAAGTGCTGCCGATTACTGAGGTTTAAGGTTAGCAAGGCCATGTGTCTACATTATGGGCACTACAGTGGCATAGCTACTGCGCTGTACCACATGGTATAGAGGCAGACGACAGTGACAGAAGGGGTTTTTCCATCGCTGTAGGAACTCCACCTCCTCAAGTGATGGTAGCTAGGTTGTCAGAAGCATTCTTCCATCGACTAAGTTGCATCTACACCACGGACTAGATTGGCATAGCTACAGCACTCAGGGGCATGAATTTGTCACACCTCTGAGCGCTGTAGCTATGTTGACCTAAGTTTGAAGCGTAGACTAGCCCAAGACAGAAGAGGTATAAAATTTAGTAAATGATAGGCCAAGCAAGGAAGGAAACCTCAGCCTGCAGTGAAGTATGCTTTTGCTACCTGGCTTATTGGTCAAGAAAAACAGAAAGAGGACTATTAAAGCAGCATGAATACTAACCCAAAAGGAAAAAAAGGCAGACAGTGACACCAGAAAGGGAAGTGTGGGTAGAGCAGCATGAGAGGAGAAGATGCATGAGAATTAACAGAACTAAATTATCCCCCAAAGCCAGAGAAGTAAAAGTTGTAGTACTTCAATTGAATCAAAGGAACCTTTGTTAATATGCAGGGAAGGGGGCGGAAAGAGTAGTGGGAAATGAGACCATTTTGTCAGTGTAGTTAATTTACGTGGGGTGAAACACGGGCCCTGGTATGTTCTAGGATTTAACCTCAAAATATCAAGTATAAAATCCACTCAGCAGATGTGCCCCAGCTTGTCTGTGCCCCCATACCAGACATCCTGGAAGCCCTTGCAAGGGTAAATTTGGAAATCTCATTTGTATATTTGATTTAATAAATCTGAACCAAGTTAAGAAATCAAAAGTTGAAGCAGCAAAAACTCTGAATACAAGAGATTCATTTGCTGGAAACTTAAGCTGGGGTCAACTCATTGCCAGAAAGAACACAAACACTTGGTAAGTTAGAACACCACACCGTTTAAATAAATAAATAAATAAAAGAGAGCTCAAGTTTAATACTTGCTTTGTGGAGTCTATATCCTTCAGATTTAAAGAGGAAAAACATTCACAGCCCCCCTGCCCCCGCCAAAAAATGAAGCTATCATATATGCTTGTTACAGTAAAAGAAATGGCAAAACGCTCACTTTTTGGTTACCTCCCATACTAGTTTCTCACCAACTTTATATTCTGACATGTAGAAGTAAAGCCAGCACATACCAGAACTTCACTCACCCAACTGCTTAGTAGGCAATAAAAGCAGTCTTAAGTTATAAGCAACAAATCATGTTAGGAACTAGAGGTACTTAACAGGGCAGTTAGCACAGACACTATTAGATCCATATACTGATACATTTCTCCCTCCAGAAACAAGGTGAATTAGGAAAGCAGCATGCCAAAAAATCTTCAGGAACCTTAAACATAAATTTCTGTAAGAAGCCCAAGTTAGGTTTAGAAATCAGCTTTATAGATTTCAGATTACTAATGCACTTAAAGAGGAAGAAGCTCTTCATTTGGGTAGAACCACTGACAAAATTATATTGGGTCTGTTTTATATTGGGTTCTGCACCTACATCTGTGATTGCTAACCTCTGGCAGATTAAGTCACGGCTACAGTATATCGGGGTCAGTCAGTCATGAGTGAGTTTTATTCTCCAGACCCAAATGCAATGAGAGCATATGGGAAGCATGGTTACACCACTGAGCACAGGAGACAGCAAAAAGCATTTCCTTAGCAGCTTTGGTTTTTAAATCAATGTATGAGATAGGATGCCTTTAAGAAAAATAATGTAGTTATGATAATCGAGCATGTGCTCCCCACCCCCCACCCCCTCTTTTTTTTGAAACAAGCAATATCAGTAGCAGGAAACTCATTTAAAAACCTGTATGGAAGGCTAACAGAACAGGCTGCAGGTGCTGCAAGAGGCAGAATTGCCTATGTTTGATTAACTCTTTTCCGAGCTCATCTGTGTTCACTTTAACACACTAACCTGTGGTTTTAATCTAGATGCCTTAAGTAAACGTATTAATTTTGGGAATTACAGCTGAAGATTCATTCAGAGGAGGGGAATGATATACACCTCTACCCCGATATAACGAGACCCGATAGAACATGAATTCGGATAGAACGCGGTTAAAGCAGCGCTCCGGGGGGTGCTGGGCTGCGCGCTCCAGTGGATCAAAGCAAGTTCAATATAACGCGGTTTCACCTATAACGCGGTAAGATTTTTTGGCTCCTGAGGAAAGCATTATATCGAGGTAGAGGTGTACTCACACATCATGGCAAATATTTATTCTCTCTGGTGGTTTGCACCAGAGATGTTCATACCTCAGTACCCGAGGCTGCATAAAGTTACACCACCACTCATTTTGTAGTCTGTTAGTCTGAGAGAACTCAGCTCCCATCAGGCTGTAGCAAGGCCCAGTTCCTAACCCCATTTTCCAGAGGACATGAGTGAAACACAAGAGGGGGTGAATAACTTGCCCAGGATCACAGAGAGTGAGTGTCTATGTATCTGCTCAGAATGAACCAGAGATTCTCCTGTCCCCGCTCTTTTAAACACTATACCACAGTGCCTTCAGCTGACTTACTCCCCAACAGGTGTGATATTTTCAATGCCACAGCCCTTATAGTGAAATCACACGGACATGAATGCCTTGATACAAATGGCTTACAGAAAAGCCACTCTAAGCTAATGACCAGATAACTCAACTCTTTGTAAGTCATCTATTTCCAAATGACATTATACATATGGGGAGGGGGGCAGCAGGACTAATCAGTAGGATTTTTAAAGGGGCGAGACTTCATATTATGGAAGTCATTAATACTTTTTAGGTCATATTAGAATTATGCATTACAACCACACAAATGCCAAAATTCATTATTGTCATTACAATTAATATCAAGGCAGAGGCATAAAGTTTTGTCACTTGTTCCTGCGCTGAAAAAACTTGAACATTAGCGGAACATTTAAATGCATAATTTAAAATAGGGCCATTTGATCTCTCAAATGATTGCTTTGGTTTCCTCTTCCAAAAAGTATTAGAATAATTATTTTTAAAAATAAATCTAAGCATCTTTAGAAAGAAAAAAAAAGTTAGTTAGCTTAGTATTTAAGATTCAGGAGCAAACTTTTTACATGGGAATGAAGCAATACAAAACTTAGTGCTCTAGCATTCAGCAGAGGGCCTGTACAAAGCTTAGAGACCTAAGGGTTTAAGAGGTTCACGTCTTGGGGTTGGCCCTGGGCAAGAGTGAATTTCATCCTGAAGAAGTAACCAAAGTTTCCAGACTCCAGGGATAAACTGCCTCCCTCTCCTACTTTGTTTTCTTTTAGTTTCTGAAGTTGTTCCACTCATACTGCTAAATCAGGGAAATACTTTGAACCTACAGCATAATAATAAAGATATCTTAATATTGCTTTGTGCCCTCAAATTGCACAATTTTGTCTATAACTATATGCTCTGTTTTTTAATATGTTCATTGAAGGATTTAGTAGTTCAATCAATATCCATTACACTTTTCAAATGTCTGTTACCTTTACTACATGTGAATGATTCACAAGAAGTCCCAGCTCACAGGCCAAAGTGTAAACGTGTATTGGGGAAGCCAGGATCAGACTGCAATGGACGACTGGGATAGTTCACCATTAGCAAGTTTACTCACACATATAAAGAAAACAAACACGCTTATTGACAGAGCAACATTCCAGACCAATTCTAAGGAATGGGGATCTCACTGGTGCGAAGTGAGCAGGAGATATCAGAGAAGCATTCATTTCTAGACAACTTTACAGTGTAAGAAAGATGGAGAAAGGTGGGGGGGGGGTTGTTTGTTTGTTTGTTTTTAAAAAAAGGACTGTCTTCCTATTTTTTTTTTTTGAAGTAAAGGTTAGAAGAAGTTTTCTTGCTATGTACAACAAACAAGAATAAAAGCCCTGGGTTAAAAGCCTCACATGGAGCACTCAGCAACCGGTAATAAACCACTGTGAAAGTTTAACAGCAATGTCTTTGCACAAAGCCAAGTTGTCACATAACCTCCACCATTTAAACCACTTTTGTCCCATCAGCCACAGATCACAGGAGTAGCCTCAGTTTCACCAGATTAGTTGATTTTTTTTTTTTTTTTAAATAGGACAGGAGCAGGGAAGGTTAGAGCAAGGTTCCCAAACACAAGTTAGGAAGGAAAAACAATCTCCACATCACCAAGCCCTTCATTTCCCTTCCCGTTCACCATTGGAGACCCAGCTTCTGCCAGTCCCATCTTACCTTCTTTAGAAGTTACAAACAGTTACAAACAGACCCACTCTTTCGGTGCTTGTAACACACTCCTTGCTTGATCGTTCAGCTGAATAAGGCCATTGTAGTCATCAGGTGCATACTACAGTACAAGTGTGATACACGATAATCAGCAATAGAAGGAACAGTTCTTGTACAGCAAGCCACACAGACTACATTTGCAACCTTAATTAAGAGCATCAGCTACAGTAACTGGCAGGAGACAAAGTGAATTTGACACACACAGCTTATATGCAATCACTAAAATACATTACTTGAAGAGTTGGTTGGAGGTAGGTTTATGGAAGAAATATGGGGGAGATTATATACTGCATATAGTAGCTTTTTGTAATGCAAGTCTTCCTTAATAAGGAAATTTAAACAATCA